GCATCCGTCTCCGTTGTTTTTTTTCGTTTTTGTAGTTGCTTCAAACAGGCCGTGGCTGATGTCAGAGTCCGCGTCGCGATTTTCGCGATTTGCGCGACGGGTGACGGAAATCACAAGTGCCCCATCCATACTACAAGGTGTTCTCCAATCCCGCCATCACTTCTGCTTGATGGTTATGGTTTAATGGAGACTGCTCATGATTTCACTTGTTTCATATCCAGTGTTTCAATTGTTCAAATGGGGTACTTGCAATTTTTGTGGTTGGTTTGGTTTGATTCCTGAAAAGAAAATAGTAACGATCCCTAATAGACATTGAACATGAAACAAGTAGAACCACAAACATTCGTCTTCCAATCTTTACTGCCAAGCGGAATTCGCAGCAGGATTAAACAACACCTCGCAGTATTCATCGGGCACTTCCAGCTCCTGTGATCCACCGCAGGTTTCGCGAAAATCGCGCAAATGATCGCGGACTCTGACATCAGCCTTACTCGTTAGATGGCGACGTCCCACGGGCCCTACGCTCAGCTGTTTCTTTTGCCTCCTGCATGTGTATGAGTAGTTTCGCTACATATATGATCAACAGAATGGGATCGACAGGAGTTTACTCAAAAGATTTTTGTTGGAAACTATTGGAAAAAACCCCATATAATCCAACTGTTGGGACTCTTTCACAGGAGAACGAAAGTGGTGGTACGAACTAGCAGTGGAGTACAAAAGAGAGCTGAAAGCATTTTGGATGAAAATTTTTAAGGTTCGATACTTGCGGAAACGGTCATCTCAGGGGAATCTGTATGTCTCTGCGAGAGAACAAACGAATAAGATGAGAGAGCGTAGCAGACGGGGCAAGACGTACATCAAATTTCGCGACCACCAGGTGCAATGTCGGTTTCAGAAATGACAAGGCCTCAGAGCTCTGTCGCTCGCTTAAAGGAATCCTCCCGTCCACGGAAAAATCATGGTTCTATTTCAGCCATATATCACTGGCTAGAGGCTCATTATCCACGATAAGAATGAAAAGAACAGAAATAATGCTTTTGTTTTAGTAAAAAATTCGAAAAATCGAAAGGGCTGCTACGCGTTCAAAGTGCCCACGGACGTCTTTCACAAATGCTGATGACGGGGATACCTCCATTTGGTTCTTGAAGTGTCTTCACTAGGAACTCTTTTTGGCTTTCTGCTTTATTGCGTTCACATCTTACACTTCTACTCCATCCTATTCTATCAATCGATTTGTCTCTACTCGCTAAAATCGCACAGTTTATCCCGATTATTTCATTGTGTCGCCTGACATGTAGCCGCCCCAAGGCAGACTTCTTTCCGTGACCCGCCTTCGCGCCTTTCACCTTTGATTGTCCACAGAGTGTAGTTTTTGTACGCTTGTTGCTCTTCGGAAACCGAATCTTCATGCGTTAAACTTTGTGTGCTGTTTGCAGTGATCACAACTGATACATTCATGTCAAGAAAGAATGCAAGAATTTCCTTTCAGAACACGAGAAGAGCGCTTCTTCTGCTTTTGTAGGTAGCTCTACGCTACTCAAGGGAAGAATTCAACCGTCTCGTTTAATTGCGAATTTTTTTCCACAACCAACGTAAATATCAGTGGTAAACATTTATTCTGGCACTAACGCAGACGATGCACCAAAAACACTGTAGCGTGCAGTCATGAGTGCACAAAAATGCGGTGTGATGAGGTTTGGTTCGGAATTAAAGCTGGTGTCAGACTTTGCGAACCCAACGATTCGCTAGTGGCGTGTCTGCGAAGTCGCCAGTAGCGAATCGCTGGATTCGCAAAGTGTGTCCCGTTCAAAAAGGGAATAGAACAGACCACGTTGAGATCGTTTTTGAATCGTCCATACTGTATACAGTCATGTATGAAAAGCGTTAAGGCTCAACACTGGGTCAGGTACAGGAAAGTAAATAAAGACAATAAGAAAAAAAACACGGTAGAGCTATAAAGCTCTTCAAAAAGGCTCACACAAAGTACAATTTCAACCGATGCATGTACACATTACACAAGATTACATGGCATGTTGACGCCCGTAGTTTCACATGAAATGGCGATCTTGGAAGATCGACGAGATCACTCACATTATGCAAGGAAGGATAATTTGGGGAGCCCTCAAGTATTAGGCCTGACACATCCAATAGCTTAATCAACACTCAATAGCACACTATCTAAAGGCAGACATAAAGTGAGAGAAGCATACTTACTGGTATGACTGTGCAGCACTCGAACAGGGCAGAAAGCAGTTTACATTCATCATATACAAGCTTATTTTGGTGCTGAGATCATCAGAGAATGGTTGCTACTTATATGAACCAAAACTTAAAAGGAAAATGCATTTCTTTCTTCCTATCGCATTTTCCGTTCGAAGTTACGAAGCAGTGATCGCGCTACAGGTGTGGGTGGAACCAGGATGGAGCGTGGCACATAGGACAATTCTGAAAAACGAACCCTACTAACGCGGGCCATTATGCCACTATTCACAACCCCTTTAAGGCACGTGAAGAGACATAATCATTGCTGGGACGCGTAAGTTGGCACTGGAGCGCATTATCTGCACTGAAGAACATGTTAAAGATTGTTCCAATATCAAAACGCTCATAAGACGACTCTGAAGAAGACCAATAACCAGAGGGAGAGGACTGGAAGCTTCTCGAATTTAAGTTTTCGAGGAGTACTGAGACGTTAATGCGGGGAAGAAGTCCTGAATTTAGCGCTCAGACCAACCACGTTTCTATTGGAGTCAACTTGGTACGACATATTTAGGAGGAAGAACATCGTCCACATGCTCCCGTGAGTCATCGTGTGGGAGGAAGATGACAGCCCTACCAAAACTTCCCAAAGCTGTTGCATACGGGGTGCAGCATGTTTTGAAGTACCTCAATTGCACAGTATGTGTCATTCTCCTAGCGGCGAGCCCGTTCGGAAAAACGCGCTCCCAGGGCAAGGCACACAGGCACGCGTAACGCCATCAACCCTCACCGCATGCAATCATGGTTAACCTTCCCTTTAGGATCATACGCTTAGTGCGCTGATCCGTACGCTACGTTCACCCTATACTGGCGTTCCATACAACCTCTTTCGCGAGATTTCGCAGAAACGACAATACACTCACCGGATGGATTCTTAAAGCAGGGTCAATCGCGCAGTTAGAGGAATGCTTCGACACGCACAGCGGGGGGTCGATCCCTCGCTCGGAAAGCCGACCGTGATGTGCCATACATCATCACCCGTCGGGAGGAAATCACTGCAAGGATCGAGTCGATGCGAGTGAGTAGATTTCAATAACAATGTTTTCCGGTACACATAAAGATATTCGGAGGTGCTCGTACTTAACAATTCGTAGCTACTTCAGTGTTTATCAACACCCAGATAAAGAATCCGACTTCGAACGTGTTCGCAAGTGATATAACTCTGCGTTCGACTGTGATCCTCATACAGCAGGGATTGTGAAGCACCACGGCGCACTCGCCATGAGGCGCCTCAGTTGTCGCGGGCCTGCGCGCTTCAGCTACGTTTCTGAAAAGAATCTCTCACTCAGAGAATCAATAGGAGTCTAAAGGGTCGGTGGGAATTACAGGGGAATAGCCCACCGTTAAACAAGAAATGCAGCTTCCAGGCGTCAAAGTTTATGAGCTATAAGTGTTGGAGGTTAACTGTCGAATAATTCACACTTGTTGGAAGAGAAAAAAGCTCGTGGGTTTCCGAGTACTCTCTTGTAGATCTTGCCCCTGAAGGCACCTAATACAGTCGTTAAATAGTGCCAACGGCAGCGGAAAGTACTTTCGCGGTACTCAGGCAAAAAACTCCGACGTGGCTCATGTTAAATACCTAAAGTATGAAGCTCTTCGTCAGCAATCGTCTGTCGATGAACCATCCATCTGTCTTCTATGAAAATATTCTCTTTGCGGATTATGAGTTTGAAGCGGAATTATGGCGTTTTGGCAAGCGTAAAAAGCCGTGCTGCATCATGAATTTTGCTGCGTTACATGGAAATTGACCTCGCTAATGATTGCTCTTAATTTTTTGCAAAAATCCTCGACCAGGCCGTGTTTTTTTCAAATAGTGGACCGATATCTAAGTGGTTAAGTAAATAGAGCAAATCTCTAGTTGTGATGACGTATTAATTCTTCAGCTTTGATAGGGAATGAGCAAGTAAGCGCTATAGAAAGTGTAAAAACTCGTGCTCAGCATGAATTTCGGCCCGTTAATAATCTAATTTGTTATTCCTTTTATTTTTTGTAATTTCTACACATGGTTCCAAGGAATCTTACAGATAGACCTCTGCTTTCAGATTTAGATAAATTCGTCATAGATGAATGAAAGTATGATCATTATGACTATGGTGTTCAAATTCAATAGTAAGCACTAAAGTCTGCTACCAAGGCCACCAAATCACACCGCAGCTGCTAAGGCCGTTACAAGGCTTTTCACGCGAAAAGGACTTCTAGATTGAAAGCATAACAACAAAAACCTCTGCGACGAAATTGAGTAAGCCTCTTGAAGAGTAAATAAAGAAGTGATGTGCATAGTCATTATGACATTGCCGTTTTTTTTGGCTGGTGCTGTTCCTGCTTTTTCTCGTTTGATCGTGGCCGTAGGATCAATCAATAATGCCTCATTCCTTGACTTTCACATTTGTGTTTCTTGAACGGAATTGTGATGGGGATCGTGGGTTAAGCAGCTTTTTTGTGAACAGTTTTGGGGAAGAACTGAACAACCTCCCCATACTTCGGCTATTGAAGAGGGTCGGTTCATGGACTTCGTTCCCTGGGGGAGGGGGAGGGTTGGGTGGTCGTACTTTAAAATTTTCCTCGACGCCTCGCTTGACCCTGATCTAAAGCCGCTGGCCAATCTGGACCCTTTTGGTGCTTAGCACCTATCTCGTCCGCCTTGGATTGCTCCGCCCACACCTGTGCCACTTTGCTTCCAAATAGTTTTAGATTCCATTCTCTCGATTTGTGAAAACTTTTTAGTGTTAGCGAAATCCTTATTCAATAGGGGTGTTTTGTGGTGGATCCCACATTTGAGTAACCGAAATGAGCTGAGTGAACACAAGCGATAATGGCGTTTTGAATGCCGTCTTCACTTTTTGTTCACGCTGACAAGTGAGAATCTGTTTGAAAGCTCGTCGAAAATCACGCGAGAAACGTGAATAGATCAGTGGATTCAGCATCGAGTTCAGATGGCCGGCCCATGTAACTATAGTGAAGATCGTGTCCTTGTAGTCGAAACACTGAAGGAAAATGCGTGAGAAGACAACAGGATACATCACTTTACACTTATTCACGACATTTCATTTGCTGGCTGTGAACAAAAAAAAAGCAGCAGAAGGAGAGTTCCCTGACTAGTATGCGGGCGAGTAAACACAGGCCGCATTGGAGTTCAAGAAAGGGCTCATACAAGAATAAAATACCTTCAAAGAGGACTGTTGGAAATTTTCCGAACTGATGATAATTGCCTGTATGGGTGGAGACCAGGGTTATGCATGGGTTTCGCCCGACTATGCGCCATCCTCCCCTTTACCTTCTGGTTGGATGCTGACGGCAGCGTGGCTGATGAGCTAGTGCAACATGACACACCTCCAAACCCGCAACCTGGACCACAAGAGTGCGTCGAGGAAGGTGTAATCATAATTTTCTGAGGAGAAAGTTTTTCAAAATCTATATTTGTCTGGGTTTCCCAAAAAATTTCCATCTTTCTCAGAACTATCCTCTTGTCTTTCAGAGAGAAGACCCATTTCGAAAAGATACGAGTGCTCTCCCCTCACTCACAGATGCGGTCTCGATTTCTGACTCATTGTCAGTCAGGCTGACCGCTGACCCTGGCTTCGATCGTCTTGATATCATTCAAGCAACGTAAGAGCAGAATGTTATTCAGGACCTATCCGGGAGGGAGAGGATAGAATACCAAATCGTTCGTGTGGAATAACGCTAAAAGCTCCCCTTGTAACAACACTGCAGCTGAAACTTATGTAAAATGCTTACCGTGTCACACAAGACGGTAAGTGGAGAAAAGACAAAGAATGGCGTCCAACATATAATGAACGCTCCAACGACAATCGATAGAGTACGTGCCGCTCGTTGTTCATGCACGTATTTCACCATCTGACGCGATTTCTCTCGCACGTTCAGCTTTCGACGCGCCATTTGTGGTGAACTCACCGACGAGATGTCGCTTGCCTCATCTCGTTGTATTTGTAACGTCTGCAATTCACGATCTTTGGATGTTCTGTTTTCGAAAGTGCACAACTAGGAAAATGAAAGAAAAACATTTTCATTTCTGCCGAAAAGATGCTAAATAATTGACCGAGCGTCTGTGGGGAAAACTACCGATCAGCTAACGCGGAAAGGAGCACGGGTACTTCTCTAATTGCGTAGGCGTATTGCAGAAGGCGGTCCGTACTTTTAACGCACGAACGCTTGCATCCGAAGCTCGCATCGAAGATCTGATGATGCAGGCCAGGAAGATCAAGTACGACGTCATCGGACTGACCGAGGCGAGAAGGCAGCGCCCGCTACTCGCCGTTTTCGATCCTGGAGAAGAACGTCCCTTGGAACATGCGACAGCAGAGGCGTTGGCGGTGTTGGTGTCCTCGTCTTTACGCAGAATCCAGAATGCTTCCAAGACCTTCCTAGCGCAAAGTTCCGTCTCATGCGCCAATACCGTGCACTTAATTTCGAATTCAACGCCATCATGCTCTTCGATCTTGCGCCTCCCAAGAGCTGTTGAAAGAGTACCGCGCATCGCGCTGGCCAGAGGTTCTTTGGTACGAATGGCTAGAACCCTTCCTGTTTCTCCAATGTTTTTCTTTCTGGTTCTTAGCATAATATCGGAACCGCTGGAGAAGTCGAGGTGCTTGGTCGATTAGTTCGCAAATTTAAACCTTGAACCACATTCAGGCCTCTGAAGACGACGATCAAGTTGAAACGTTAGGTCACTTTAATAAAAGTTCCACCGACCAACCTCGAAAGGCACAAAAACTAACACACAATATAACTTATTATGCCGAGGTTGCAAGAAGAGAGAAGCTGGAGAATATGTTTATATTATTTTATTATAATAATAAGATTGGCCGGGTAGCTAAACCACCTTCGTTTTGCTGACGACATCGTTCTTATGATGTCGAACATCAAGGAAGCGGAACGAATGCTAGCCGATTTTGACTGCGCCTGTGATAAGGTCAGTCTGCAGCTAAACCTAACGAAGACCAATTTATGAGAAACGGATTAGTTCCTGATGCCTCATTCACGCTCAACGGAACGAACATCACAGAATGCTCCAGCTACGTGTACCTAGGTCGGGAAATCAATATGAGGAACGACCTAGCTCCAGAGCTGAGCAGGAGGAAACGAGAGGCATGAGGAGCATTTAAGATTATCGAGGGAGTAGTGAAGAAGACGAAGAACATCCGCCTCTGTGCTCACCTCTTCAATTCCGCAGTGCTTCCTGCCCTAACCTACGTCTAAGACTTGGACTCTGCGCAGGCAGGACGAGCAAGCGGTAAGCATTATACTACTCGCTGTTGAGAGGACGATGCTTGGAATAACCCATGCACGCTAGTACAAAGGGGAATCCGGAGTCCTGAACTACGCCAACGATTGAAGATCAGGGACGCTGCCGTTTTTGCCAAGGAATCTAAGATAATGTGGGCCGAACACGTCATGCGATTTTGCGATGACCGCTGGACCAGAGCGGTTATCGACTGGATTCCTCGGGACGCCAAATCGAAAGAACACCTGGACGACCGCTGGCCCGATCGTCAGACTTCTTCACGAAAGCTCTGAACGAAAAGAATGAAGGACATGGTGTCCCTCGAGTGAGGAGGACCCACTGGACCACTCTAGCGCGCGACAGAGGACGAATGAAGACTTTGCTGGCGCTCGCTTGAGCAATTGATGATCAGCGGGACGACAGGTTAAAGGTGGCAGGTGATTGCAGAGGCTAACACCAAGTAACGTAGTTTGAGGTAGTTTATACCGGGAAGGTTGGAGAAATTTTTTACGGTGACAAAGAAATCATGAGTTCCCATAACAAGGAAAGTTACAAGGTTAAGAATGTAGAGAGGAGGATTCGGTATTCGGTATTCGGTATTCGATTTGATTTTTCCATGTATTTCGCACTGAAACGTGGGCGAGGGCGAGGTTGGCTAGGATTAAGCCTCGGCAGAGGTCGAACCTGCCGCTTTCAGAAGTGCAGACATGAATCTACACTCCTAACCAGTCGGCTATTCCCGCCTCTTACTTTTTAATGATATCGCATAAAAACAGCGGCAGTGCTCGCATCTTCTGTAAAAGGTACTGTATAGCAGAAACCCGAAGTGACCGCATAAAGATTGGACCCACAAAATAGAAATAGTCATAGAGAGTTCAGGTTCAGGAAACTTTTTGATTTCTTGTTAAGCGCCCTTGTTTTTGTTCTCGGCTCGTGGAGTCCCATTACCCCGTAAAAATTGTATGTTCAATAAGTTGGCAATATAATCCCTCGAAGTGTTCCCCTACGCTTCAAAACTCGAGCACTAGAGAACTCATTGAGACTAATTCATCATCGTCCATGGACAGATGCACTTCGACAGAGGTCTGTTCAGCTACATTTATCTCAAAGTTTGCCTGAGAAACCCTTGGGAACGAAGCCCTTTTAGTTTCCTCAAAGAAAAATGAAGGACATTCTCACCCTCAGCTCTTCCTTCCGAGTTCATGCACCTCAGGCTGAAAAAAACATCAGAAAATATTAACTCTGAGGAAATCGTTGGTGCATGAAACTCCTGGAAGCCTCCAGAAGGCAAGGAGCTAAATGAAAATTGTACCTAACGGGCGCAGCGTTGTTCTTCGATCAGTCTAGCTCACAGGGCATCTTTCCTTCTCGGTTGCCAAATTGCGTAAAAAATTTCGAAAGTGAGAGAAAAATTTGCCTATTAGAAAAGCAAAATCAATAATATCATGCTCAGGGAAAAGATGACCGCTGACGCTAACCAAAATGAAAAACACATCGGACAACGTACCGGTGCCTGAACGCTGAGCGTGCTAGACCGAAACGATGGCACGCCAGCAGCCCGGACTCGAAACATGGACCTTGTATTATTCGTGGACTCTTGCCGAAGTAGTGGAGCTCGCGAGTTGGCCAGCGGCTGATCTTCTCTTTCAATGAGACTCTTGCAAGAGACCTAAAATAAGTTATCGTCAGTTCGCCTCAAATTAGTCCGCAAATGTATAATAGTAGGGAACTGGTCCCTTGTTAATGACGGAAGAGGACAGGAACTGAGGTTGTCTTCGAGGCAGAGCCCACCATGCGTGGGATGTATCTGTCTTATTTAGAGAGCAAAAGGGGTGTTACTTGAATGAGTGGCATGATACTTTTGGAATGGTAGAGAATTTTGAGACTCAAAGGACTTTTTACGATTTTTTTAACTTGCGAAATTTTGCATTTTCCACTCCCAACAATTTTAGCGGCTCTACGCTCGGGAGACTTTTCGAGGTAGAAAAAAAATAGAATTAATTATTAGTAGAAGACAGAACTATCAGATGGATAACTCATCAAGAGGAAGCGTCAAAGCGTCAAAGCGGTGTTGTTTAGGCGCTATCGGGAGGTATGACGTCGTAGGACCTCGGACCTGCCTTGTGAATCAGGATAACTACTCAATGATGCCCATACCTCTTCAACCTCACCTTCGGGGATTTTAGTGTTGCTCCAGCTCTCCAAATCCTATAGACTACAGTTCAAAGATATTGCCCGTCAGCGCTAATGAGAGTCGCTGAGCAAGAAGTTCAAAACGGGCGGTGACATGACCGCATGCATGGAACGATAGCAGAAACTTCTCCTCTTGAATGAAAGCGCCATATTCTAGCAAGAAAGTCCCCAAGTTTCGGAAGTATTTCCAATAACTGTGAATGAACCTGTTTGAGCAAAAGCCGTGTGGACTCGTTTGTGGTTCTCGGTTGACGAAGACTTCGACTCATTTTCCGAGCTCGACCGATGTGAATACGCAGTGTGGGCTCGGCTTCACTCGACATCATACTCTCAGAGTCAGCTTGTGTTCGTCGGCCATTCTTGCACTTTACCTGAAATTTGGATCGAGACCCTAAATCGTAAGGGCAGGCAGTGGCTGTTCAAAGCGATTCTTTTTACAATAATTTTGATGACGAGCCGTGCCTAGTGGTTTGAGGTATGCTCGGAGAGATTGGCGATTATCTTCTTCGCTAGGAGGTGGTGTGGGACTCGTTGAGCGTATCCCTGACTTCGGCCTCAAAATCCCTCTAAACAACTTCGCAGCGTAGAGCAAAGGCTCGTATACGCATTTTTGAAAAGTTTCTTTCTCTTTCTCCACTTGCAGCACACCTTTCACCCCTACCTTCATATTTGAGCGGGATACCACATGAATTCTATCCTGATTCTTGCCTTTAACAAATCACCACGCAAAATTTTGTCACATCTCTCTATCGGATAAAAACCTTACCTTCTTCATTCCCATTCGCATCCCACGAGAATGCCGTGTTGCGATCACAAAGACTTTACCATAAGCGAACAGAATAAGACACAGGGGAATGTAAAATGATACTAGCGAAGAGAAACCAACGTACATGGCGCTGTCGGTGAATAGGCATTTGTTCTGAAAAAAAATGTTCAGTGAGTAAGCCTGGAAATCGAGAAACAAATTGCACTTGTTGTCGCAATAATTACAGCGATAACTTGCGCTCATCCGTGATTGCGCTTGTCTAAAGGCTCACAAGAATTAAGGTAAAGGTGGTCAGTGAAGCCGGGATGAAGAAGGAACCATGAGAAGCGGCCCAATAGAGGAATGGGACTCACTCTGTGCCGATTTCCGCCATTGATGTGATTCTCATCGCTGTTCCTCTTTTCAGTGACGACACACACTCCCTCTGCCTAACGCCTGGAGCCCCAGACGGCAAGAAAGGGGTGTGCTGCGGCGACAGCGACTTGGGGATGGCCATGCTAGATCAGCGGGACTAATCCTTCGCTGCGAATCGCGTGTCAGCCCGCACTCTTAGGAGGTACGCCTGTCTTGCCACTGGGCAAGTTTTCCCTTCGTCGACCCTTGACCTTATCATGGAATCCCCTTTGAACTCTCGATTCTCGAAAAACTGCAAGTCTTCCACAGTACATTTTTTTGCATAGTTCACGCACTTATTTTCTGTTCCAGTCACACATATCCCCCCTACTGCAATGATTAATGCGGAGGAGGAAAGGCGCGAAGTCATGTTAACCTCCCCTCCAAGGTCTCCACGATGTGTGTTTGACCCGAGCTCACCTGAAGCTCAATGCAGACTTAAAGGGCGAATTCACGATTAGAATGAAGGTCCAAGAAGGAGCAATTGACTCAGTTGAGGGAGCCGCGGACCTCCTAAGGATGTGGACTGAAGCGCAACTGGCACCCAAGGAGTTCACCTCGGCGACCTATCATGGCTCGATCTTGGCGCGGTGGTCCAGTGCACGCCCACCGATCAGCTGATCACTCGCCGCAGCTCTATACGTGGTGACTAGATAGCTGAGAGAGCGTAGTGTTGAAGAGGGCACAGCGATGATAGTAGCATCAATGCTCGAATCAACGGGCATGCAAGTGGTCCCGATTCTCAGGTTCTGGGCCGTTTCTCATGGTTTTTCCTTCTTTAGTGTACCACTCACCATCGCTAAGGTAATTTGAAATATGTTGTCTTTCCAGCGTGAATTCGTCCTTCAAAGGTTCACCTGGTTCCGCGCAAACGGAGTCACTTCCCAGGACTTGATTAAGATCAGCAATCATTGCGAATGGTGAATACACGACTAAGTAAAAGTCACCTATGTAAACCAAGCCATTCTTAGAATAAGTAGACATTATAAAGGAGAGGGGGTGATTCGCTATAAAGAATCACGGCTTATCACTGCCAAAATTTTTTTCAGATTTTCGAGAACAAGCGGAAGGGGTGAGACAGCACCTCAGCCTTGTCAACAATATCTCAGCGCTGATCGACAGACCATCAGCGATTGCTTGAAAAATGGGAACGAGCTGATGATGATGGATGGAGGCTAACCTAAGAATACATTTCTGCGCTGCAGTGTGAACACAAGTTAAAACGTTCCACGCAACAGCTGGGAAGGGGAACAATGTCGGCTACTGTAGTAGTGGCTAGAAAATCATGATCGGTGATATTTTGCCCCTGATTTCATGTCTGTCCGAAACAGCGCTATGTGTAGGCCTGAAAGTGGAATTCTGAATGGGAGATTTCTAACGTACCTTATGTTCGTACAAATGAGGTGACGTCGTTCGCCACCAAATAATAGCAGGGAACGATAAGCATGCTGACATCATCCATACGCCACAAATAGCCATCAAAATACGTCGTTTTGAGACTTTATCACGATACCCTATTGGATCCTGACCTGCCATATATCTGAAACAGGTAACCTGAATCAATGCGCTTGCCTAAAATGCACAGTCCGCTACTAGTTTGCTGGCACAATCAATCCTGTGAATTGGGTGGCTGGATCCACAATCGCACAAGGGTCGCCTCAGAAGCGTCAGAAGGTTTGAACACATTTACGCTGCCAAAGATTTGTGCTCTTAGGACGATGGCAGCCCATATGGGCTGCCAGTTGATAATCGCTTGCCAGGAGCTATGAATAGAAAGGTAGGTGGTTTATCTCATTAATCTAAATCGAATTTCAAAATGCTTTCAAACTGCTTTACGGGAAAAGTTAAAAAATGCTTTTTTTCGTTGTGACTATTCGTCGTTTTGATCGAAATCCTACTGTTATGTGTATATATAATCTTTACGCATTGAACACTGCTGATATTATTCTGAGGCGTTCTTACTTTTGTTCAACTACAGTATAAAATCCGCTGAAGTGATGTCAGACGGCGGCGTCCACAAAATCGCGTCCGTCCCACGCGAGCGAAAGTAGAGAAGGGCGCCTTCGTGAATGTGTTAAAGAGCGTGGAGAAGGAACCAGGGGCTTGGAAGTTACAAGAATTATAACCACACCGCAATCACTCACAAAAAACATTGCAAAACGTTAGTGACTGCGTCTCGCTCGTCCTTGTAGTCTCTCATCTCCCTCTTATCGTCCAGTGTTTGCTGGACTACCTATCTCGTAGAGTATCGTAGGAGGAAGGCCCTAAACTCTATCGGGTGCTCCTTCCTTTTCTTCCCTGTGGAGTGAATCAGCACTTACCACTTCGTTCTTGCGCTTGATGTCTACACTATGGCGGGTCGTGCGTACGACGACATAGTTTCGTTAAGTGCTTTAGGTAAATGACTTATACCTGCCACGTGCTAAGGACGAAAACGTTTCCGCAAGTTAAAAGAGTGTGCTTCTGTGTGAATTTCCGTATTCAAATCTTTCCAGTATTTCTCAGTAGTTTGCAATAAAGTGAGAGTTTGTTCGCAACTTGTAGTATTGATTGTAGCCCCTTTCAAGCAAAAACATACCTGTCAAGGCTGATGACACAGAGATTCCAAATGGAACTTGTTGATGCCAAGATATCTAATGCGTGGAACAAATCACACATTGTTAAGCCTAGAACGATAATAAGTTAAATTTGTTTGACTTTCATTTACTAGGAAGTAAATCCTAGATTTTCAATTCAGGTCGCTTCAATATTTTGTAGACCATGACTTTCGAAAGCGGCTTAAGTCTATATTAGCCACGCTGTGAGGCCGACAGCCAGTTGCGACTGTAGTGCAGATCAAGCAACACATGTGACGACTACCTCCATAAAATATGATCTTTTTCTGCCAACGAAATTAATAGCCGATTGCAGTTGTATTCTGTCGATTGTGATTAATTACATCTATCATTTATCAAGTATCTTTTAACACCATAAACCATCACAGGTCAGTTGTATGGTGGCCAGGACCTCGTGGTGTTTGATCATGCAGCGCAGACTATAATAGAATGTGTAAATGTTGGTCCTTCACATATTTTTAGTGTCCTTTGAAATTTAACTAAATAAGGCATTAGTGAGTCTGAAAGCTTTTCTCCTCCTTCATCGCGTCTCGGAGAGCCACTGCTTCAACAAATTTGCAGTAACTGTACATCTTTTCATAAAAGTAGTCACACATTCACAGTAATCAAGTTAGTAACCCAAGTTTCTTACAGATGAAATTTGGTATGTTTCCTGAATTAAGCCGCTTTCGGAAACGCACGCCCCCAACTTCCTGCGTGTCTATAGATATCATGAAATACTATTGATATTATACATTACTTTACTACTTCTGCTTATAATAATACTTTGCTCAACTTCAATACTTTTTATAAATACTTCGTAGTTATTCTCTCTACCTAGTGATTTCTTGTCAGAAAGAAGCCTCTAGACCATCTCTGATGTGCTCAGCAAAGGAACGCCCCGACTTATCTAAGGTACATTCAATTCTGCGAGATTTCTCGTGGATATTGATTGATTTTACAGGCAATAAATTAATTATTTTAATGATACAGGAGATGATATTCAAAAATCTCACCCAGCAGCCATTCATGATTAGCCATTTCGAATAGGGAATTCAATGGCATTACTACTAGACCAACGATTAAATCAGCGATAGCCAGCGATATAATGAGGTACCTGAAAGGCGACTTATTAAAAATATTTTATTTACGGGCGATTAAGTTCAAATACCCTGTAGGGTTACGTAGATATTTCTTCGTACACACTGCAATAACAACAAGGCAATTGCCTGCTATTGTAAGTAGACAGAAAGTTGCTAGCAGTACTGCCAGAAGTGGATGTCGCCACATAATTCCATCTACATGAAAACATTAATAAGTTGTGGAATATTAGATAAAATGTGAGGGATGTAATCTTTGGAAACTTGTCGGACTCTTCTCACGCGCTCTTTTGTCCTTTCCACACTTGAACCGCCAGATGAAAAAGATAGCAAAAAAACTTCAGGAAACTTTGGAAAAAAATTCGTTAATTGATAAGATGCATGGAGGAAGGCCGGATCGTACGTACATAAAGGGAAATACAGGACGGATTAGCTTTACAAGTAGGTATCAAAGAGTTCACGATTAAACAGCCCTCATTCAGAAATTCACGGAATACATGCCAGCCCATATGTGCTACTCCTAAAATTGAGTAGTGAAGTGAGTAGCGTTCATATGAAGTTAGGTGGGAGTACATCCTATGTTGCTAAGTACCCCTCCCACAAAGTGTTTCGCCTAGGTAACCACCAACAGGGAGCCGCACATACAGCAATAAAAGCAATGAAAAAAACTTGCACCAAATTGGTTTGTACCCAATATCACGAAGAGGGACTAACCTCCGGACATAGAGCACGTGGAATTATAGGTTGGCGTCGCCATCCATTGGTAACCCAGTGAACCCTTCCCCGAGAGCTCGGTAATTTTGTTCTTAGTCGAAATCTAGCCATGAAACTTCATTAATACCCAAGGTAAATTTGCCTGTGTCAGAGAAACCTCGTGATCTAATCGCGAGGAAACTATGGCCTCTATTAGGATAGAATGGATATCCGAGGCTTAACCAAGTGGGCCAACCGAGAGATACCGAGAGCCTTAAACACAATGATGCAAGGTAAGACTAGGAGTGGGAATCGGTGACGGGGGCAAAACAGCCCCATCTTCCTATGCGACGTTGTGACCTCATCTGTGTTTGAAGAAGATTACTCGGAAAGCTAAGGTATCGATGTTCATCCTACGTCACCGTTGAAATTTTTTTAAATTGTGATCAGCACAGTCGCCCAAAATACGAGCGTATGTTTTTCACAGTTTGACACAGCCTGGAATTAGAGAGTTGAAGATAAAATAAGCCCGCTGTCTGCCAAACCCTCCGAACCAAATTATTATCTGCCAAGACGTACTATATGGCGACTATTTCTTGTAATCTCGTCTTCGTATCGAAAACCACTTAAGAGCTATTTTCAGAGATTTATACATAAAAGGAAAGTTCTTACACACCAATATCCATGCTCTTGCTTGCGAGGGTAAATTGCCCAACTCCACTGACTATTCGACACGACATGCCGGAACTTTCCCGCGAAATGTTTATATATGTGCGCACAACGACTCCCTCATGCCCGTCGAATGCACTCGGTGCTCATATTTGAATACAAACACTCAAATCATCCTACGGTCTCTGAGGAGTGTTTCGCGGCCGCTAGACTTCAACAACACCTCCGTGAAACGTCAGTCCACGGCGAATCGACTGTCTACCCCACGCCACAATGATATTGCACGCTCAGAACAAATACCCTATACACGTAGAGGTTCCGCCCCTCCTGCTAACGCCATGCGTACAGAAAAATCAAGCCTTGAAGAGTCTAAGCGCGTGCACTGAGCTCCATAACCTTGGCGCGATGTAGCGTCACGTTCAGAAGTGCGACTTTCTGCAAAGATCATTTGCCTGGGAGCTAATAAAGGGAGATGAGTATCCCGAGTTTTTTCCGACTGAGAGTCGGCTAATTTCGTATCAATCGAACCAATAAGAGAAGCTAAGGCGTGTTACGATGGAAATTAGCGCGGAAAGCTATGCATGGAGTGGTGACCAAAGTCCAGTATCACAATTTAACATTCCTCAAGCCCAGAGCAAAGCAAAAACGTCACCGAAAGAAATCTTTTTGAAGTTTGTTCGTCCTAATGAAGGGCGAGAATACGGACCCCCATGATAGATTACGTTTCATTTTCAATTTCTTTCTGTGAGAAAAACTGACGCTTTGACGAAGCTCGGGCCCCATTACGATAATCATTTCTATCAAAAACTCGCCATGACGAAACAAAGTGAAGATAAAGTGCAAAGAACCGGTTGTTCAAGAAAATTCCCTGCGCGGGACCCAGCAATCGCGCTGCCCTAACGCAACGTGACATCGCCCCCCGTCTGTTGGGACTCACCGCTGGCGAGCTCCGCCACTATACCAAGGCTTCAAGCTTTCTCTCGGTAGAGCAAGAGCAAATTGCCACGGAGTCCGTTCACCACGTTAAGGTTTCGGACAACTTCCAAACGACATGCCTAACAACCCTGAAACACAGGTGCACGAGCGGTGGATCGTCTTCACTTGTAATCGCGTTTGCAACGATGCGTGCCGACAACAAAATTCCAGCTGTACTGTTTCATGAACATTATTACGCAGCACTCTATTCCCCAACATTCGCGATTTCCTTCAAAATCAGATACCTTCTGCTGTCGTCTGAATTATCGCTCCCATCTGAGACCGCACCTATAATGAAAGACTTGAGTGAATCTCCTGTGTATGCTGCCCGCTGTGCCCTCCGGCCAAGGAAACACCGCTTAATGGCTGCCCCTGTCGACGCGACGTGCGGACGCTGAGCACCAACCAAACGCGCCGTATCACCTGTCGTGCGGTGGGATCACCCTGATGGAGCTGGCTAAGCCAATCCCTGTGTAAACATGGTTCCGGAAGGTAGATGGTATGGTCCTAGAGAAAAAAAAACCGTGCTCATCGCGTACATCCTTCGAGGAGTGTGTACCCAATATTCAATAAAGTTTTAAAATCGCAATATGTGAGAGAGAATGAAAAAAATAAAATACTAAAAAAGAGTCCCTCAGCCATTACACCTATTTAAACACGGCTTAAATTCAATGAAATTTTCTTTTTTCTCTTCTTACAACCTATCTTATTGGTTGTTCTTATTGGCCAAAGACAACAGTTAGTCTATCAGAGAGAAAGCTGTGAACAGGCCTTTTTTGGCAAAGTGTGGAAAGTGAACAAAGTTGATTGTTCTGAAGGTAGCTTTACTTTTTCGAGAGAAGTGTCCTCGTTATAACATATTTATATATTCCTTTGCTATTCATGGTGAAGCAATACGAGACTTATGAATGTTAATTTTGGAAGATTCAAAACTCTCAAACCATCCCAAACATTTCTAAGCCATTTTGGCAAACTTTGGGCGTCTAGCGTCTTCTTCAGGCATAAAATAAGTTTAAACAGGTCCTTAATAAGCTTTGAGCGATGTGACGCTTTTGCGTTTTGATATGGTGACTTTATAACCGAATCTCGATTCAATTCTAATGAATGCGCCACTGGGTAAGATTTTTTGCCAATTGTACGGGTAATGGTTGTAACCCAAACATCCAGGCCAACAAACAAATTTTTGTGGAGTATATGTCAGGTAAAACCACATTGCATGGTTTATGAGGCTTTTCCGTGATATTTCGAAGAATGGTCTCGCATATGAGCGGTAGCGGCCATATGCAAAAATGGAAGAGTATAGCGGTACAACAGGTAGAAATATGTAGTAGTTCGAGTGAAGAGCTGAAGCGGCGAAAAGGCGTATGAAGAGGATGTGGAGGGCCGAAAGAAGAAAGTGAACTTCAAACAGCAGGAAATTAACGGGCTGCTAGTGCAGAAAGTGGTTAACCTGGAGCAGCAAAAAGTATTCTTACGTAATAAGAAATTTATTTGAATGTTTACACTTTTTGAGGCTCCAATTTTTTGGCAATAACCAAAACATAAAATAATCCAGAAAGGATTGCCGAAAGTGCTTATTTTTGAATGTTTTCTATTTTCGTGCTTAGCATCTTCTTCTAGCCTGAAATATTTGAAAAAGTAGGTCAATATAATGGAATATTCAACGAGCTCACCCTGCTCCACCAGGACATTCGAGCGCAATTTGTTTGACAAACTGGTCAACCTATTCCGTGCTTACATATTATAAGCTGTCGTATCATCCAACATCACCCACCATCTGTCTACAGTAAATCTTTTCTGAGAGTTGAGTACTCAATGTAAGATTTATTATTCAAGCATGACTCTTGGATGAAACCCTGCCTGATCTCTGTCAACAGACCTCTCCAGCATTGTTTTTTGAAGCGATAGGGATCATCGTTTGTCGTATTAGGCTATAGAGAAAACACTTCCGACACTTTTACCTATGCTAAGTTTTGGTTTTATTCTTTTAAAGTTTCAACTCCTAATCAGTTTATTGGTATTCATGAAAGTACTTAATTTTAGCTCAGTATTTGAAAAAAAAACCCAGTGTTGCAGGCCTTTGTTACCGGTCTAAGGAGATTGCCAAACACGCGTTAACGCCAACCTGGGTCTATAAGAGCCGAATTCGTAGGCCACCCTGCAAGAGGTTGGGGGACAATGAGTACCCAATAATTCTGGGTGTACACAGGCGGATTAAGCAAGTTCTTCAAGTTACGGTTCCATCTGAAGAAAATGCGTCATTGTGTTGGCTAGCTTCAAAGTGCAACGGAGGCGATTTCAGACGACATGCACGTATAAGCACAATTTAATGAAGACACTCCATGTCATCGCCCTGGAAGAATTTCCGAAATAAGCCTTGGTCATGGCCGAATGCGCTTAAACAATCTTAACTCCACTGAAAAGAAAGGAAAAGAAAGACCTTTCCCGGTCGGTGCAACCACAGCAAGGTGAGAAGCTTTGCCAACACATGGCTATGTCAGCTATGTTCACTGGTTCCAAATCCGTCAAATTTTTCATCACAATGGTCCAGGTCAAGTATCACACAGCGTTTGGGAAAAACTGTCAACATCTGAGTAATCCTGCCCGAAAAAGCTTGAAAGTGCAGCTATCACAAATGAAATGAGCAACGGCTGCCTTATTTACTGAAGGATCGACCTTCAGTAAAACGTCGAAGAGCTAACGTATAGCGATAAAAAGACTGATGAGAGTGAGTATCGGCAAATTTATCAAACTACTCACATGGGTCTCAAAGCAAAATGCGTGGCGCACCCCGAAAAGCGATTGATCGAAGCAGGTCAGTTATCCCTTTGAAAACTAAGGTGCATCACGAAA